GACCCCAGACGCTATATCTTTTGATAGCCAGGCACCATCAGCTTTCTTCACCACATTTGGTTATTCACCTGCTTTGTCTTCAGCGGTTGTGTCGGGAAGGTGAGCATCATAGAATGCCAGTTTACTAGAAGAAAGTATTCTTGCTTTGAGGAAGTACTTGAGTGGAGGCCCAATGTCTTTCTGCTACCTTAATACTAGACCTATAAATATAGGCACATAGATCTATTTCCCCATCCTCATATAAATATATTTGCATATGTACATGTCTTTGGGAATTCCTTCCTATTGTATGTTTTTATCATGAAACAGTGCTGGGTTTCATCAAACACTTTTGTGGTGCAGTCGTTCCACGTTGGGCTGCTAAAGCAAGGTCAGCATTTGAACCCACCAGCTGCTCCAGGGGAGAAAGATGGGGCTTTCTGCTCTCCTCCAGGGTCACAGTCTCGGGTTCTCGGGGCGTCAACTTGATGACAGTGAGTTTATTAAGATGTTCATGCAGTTTTTAATTTTTATTCTACTAATAGCATTGTGTAAATCTGGGTAGACTAGAGAAACAAATCCACAGAAATTCATATGTATATAAGAGAGAGTTTTATATAAAAGGTAAGTGTACATTAAGAAAGCATCCCAACAAGCAGTCTAGTCCAAGTCCATAAATCCGACATTAGCCCATATGTCTGACACCAGTCTACAGAGTCCTTCTCAAACGCCCAACACACAAGCAATGATGCCGACTGCAGGAGGAAATCCAAGTCAGTGAATGTGTAAACATCTCAGTGCTGGCAGGAGTCTCCACGAGGCTACTCCAGCACCCATGGCTGCATAGGGATAGGTCCATGTGGCTCCTCCTCAGGGATGTCTCTTAGAAAGTAAGCCTTGCCAGCTGAGGCAGAGAACTAGCTGAGGCAGCTGCACCCTGGTCTGATCATCTGAGAATAAGAGACCTGAGAACAAGAAAGGCAAGGCTCGCCCAGCCATTTATCTCTCTACCCTTAAATTAATCCCACATATGTTTATTGGCCAGGTTGGCACAAGAAACTGTAACTATCACAATCCACCCCTTGCCAACTTGACACCTGTGCACAATTCTTTAGCCTAACAGTTGCAGTTATGGTAACACTGAGATAGTTTATTGTGCCAGCCTGGCCAATAACCACAAGTGGGGTTAACTGAAGGGCAGTGCGATAAATGGCTCGGTGAGCCTCGCCTTTCTTGTCTCTCGCTCTTTGATTATCGGACCAGCGTGCGGCTGCCTTGCTTGTTCTGTGCCTCAATTTACAGGCTACACTACTTGTGGGACGTCTAGCCTGTGGACTGTGTCGCTGTAAGTTGAGGTCCCTTTAAGACATCTCTGGAGCTGGGGACTGGTGGTTGGTGACCTGGCTGACAGTTGGTGACCTGCCTTGTGATTGGCTGCTGTGCTGAGATAGCCTAGCTCTCTCTCTGTATAGAGGAAGATCTG